TTTATGTTCACAGACGCTGCTGAGCGCGAATTTTAACAGTGACTCGACGCGTACGTCAAGTGCGAGATAAGATGTAAGTAGCTAAACTTAACATTTCATATTTTACTTTTTTTAGGTCATAAATGTAAAACGAATGACAAAACATAATCAGGCAAACTAATATAGTTTTGTCTAATTTCGCCATTTTGAACTGAAAATAGGCTGTAACGTGACTCATGTAATGTAATAATTAGTTTACAAGAAACATTAACAAAGCCATTTTCATCATGTTAGGCACAAGATTAATAATGAATGTGTACATATTGAGGATATAATACAAATTGTAGCCTTTAGTAAATTAAAAAAAGCTCAGCTTTAGGAGGGGAAGAGAAAGGGACGAAGAGACTGAGAAAAAAAGAAAGAGTGATGGAGATGAGAAGAGAGCAGGTATTGACAAATAATCTGCCCACTGACATGGTTTTAAAGCTATTTCTTATCCTTTTTTGGTCTTCAAACGTCTTGAAATGCACATATCAGAGAAATAAAAAATTAACCCCCTACCAACCTCAAATTTAGGACCTCTGTGATTATAAAGCCCTGTCTACGGCCCTGTATTAGGCATAAGATCAATAATAAATGTGTAGCCTACATATTGTGCATGCATTTAATAAACTTAATTACCTTTAGTAGCTTTCAGTAAATAAACGCGTCTGAGAAAATGATTCATAGGCAAAATCAACCTATCAGTTGACCCTATGTTTACTTTCTTCACTGACAGACAAAAATGAAAAGCCTATATCAGTCAAAGCTCAGCTTTAGGAGGGGAAGAGACAGGGCAAGAGAAAAACAAAGAGAAAAAGAGTGTGATGCTGATGAGGAGAGAAAAATAATCAGCTGCCCACTATCCAAGTTTTTTGGCCTTCAGAACATCTTAAAATGCACATATGTAGATCAGAGAAATCAAAATTTTCTCGGGGAGACCCCGAACCCCCTTATTTGCCATACCTCACATTAGGGACCACAGTTATTATAAAACCGTGCCTTTGCATCGTAATGAAAATGGTTAATAGTGATCTTTAGATCCTAAACTAAAGTGTTACATTTTTTTATTTTAAAAAAAAAAAATCATATTGGGGGCTTAGCCCCCCTAAAAGGAAAATCCTAGTGACGCCCCTGATAGACACTATAGGGCTGTTATAGGTAGGGCTGATCAAATTAAATCATTTACACCGAAAAATTACAACTGCATTAAATAATGTTATGATATTGTTTTAAATATTTTTTAATATTCAAATAAGAAACGTTGGAAAGAAGATACCTTTAAACATGAAACTAAACCACCAGTAGGTGGCGGCAGGGGACCGCTTTAATGAGCGAGTCATTCGTTCAAACGGCTGATTCGTTCAGGAATGAGTCGTTCAGGAATGAGTCATTGAATCTGTGACTCAACCGATTCGTTCAAAACGCTGAATCGTTCAGTAATGAAACACGGATGAGTGTTGCTGTGAGATGCTTTATGGTTCTGCTGTGATCTTTGATTGGAACTATTTTCGCTGCTGAAACAAAACAGTCAATATTGCGTATAAAATGTAAGTGAATTAATTGTAACTGTTTATTGAACTGTTGTATGAAATCAATGTCACATTTTCAATCATGGTGTTCAGGAAACCAGCACCGGCGCGTGAGGTTGCTTCACTGCATCATATGTTAAAAATATAAAAACTCCACATTGAATTTTTGTCGGCAGTATGTTGTTACCTGAGCTTGTGTGAGCTGCGCTCATTTGTTTAGATTTCTCAGATATTGATTGCAACTTACAATAAATGTAATAAAATCTGAATCATCGTTTTAGTGATTCCCAAGTTTTTATTTTTTTGTGTGTTATTGCCGTTTTAATCAGGATACGTGTCCGGTCGGACTAGAACAATTCTCTTTAAATTGTCCCTTCAAAAACAAGTACAATTTAGACGTTGAATGACAGAATCTGATCCTAGATCAGACAGGTGAAGGTTCATGATTCATCTGCTGTCATGAGGATGATGATGCGTTTCCTGTTGAGGTCATGAATTCCCCATGATTCAGAGATTTAACAGATGTCACGCCTTTTTTCACCTTTGGCTTTTGTCTTGCTTAGTTGGGCACATTTAACTTAATATTCAGCAATATTATTGATCTCCTGCATTGACACCATTATAGGAAAACTGAACTGAGCTGGACGATGACATCACAGTTTTCTCCAGAGCGGATATATATATAAATGAAAAAAAACTAAATTAATAACTTTATTACAGCAGAAATGAAGCATCACTGAATTTACTTAAGCTGGACTGTGACGCTATTGTCTTCTAGAAACAAACTTTGTTGCATTATTTTCCTGTTTTCTCTGTAAAGCTGCTGTGAAACAATCTGTGTTTTAAAAAGCACTATATAAATAAAGGTGACTTGACTTGAGGATGATGTTGATATCGCGAGTGATGATGTATAATGGTGGTGATGATGATGTGTGTGTGTGTGTGTGCAGCTGAGCTCATGTCTGAGGAGGTGGTGCGACAGACGCGCAGTCAGAAGCGTGCGCTAGAGAAGGACTCTCCCCCTGCGGACAGCAAGCGACTGAAGCGTGATGAAGAAGACGACCTGATGAAGGCCTCCGTCAAACTGGAGCTCCAGGCGGGAGACGAGGCCGTGGGCCGTGGGAACACGTGAGGACCCTTTACACCTGGGGTTTCATTAGCAGTGTTTCCACTGTCGGGCCAGAGCGAGCAGGGCTTTAAACGGGCGGGCGGGGCCGATAGCCTCGGGTCAGGAACACAGAGACCAAAACTTGCAGTGTTTCCACTGTCGGGCCAGTGCGAGCAGGGCTTTAAACGGACGGGCGGGGCCGATAGCCTCGGGTCAGGAACACCGAGACCAAAACCTGCAGTGTTTCCACTGTCGGGCCAGTGCGAGCAGGGCTTTAAACGGGCGGGCGGGGCCGATAGCCTCGGGTCAGGAACACAGAGACCAAAACCTGCAGTGTTTCCACTGTCGGGCCAGTGCGAGCAGGGCTTTAAACGGGCGGGCGGGGCCGATAGCCTCGGGTCAGGAACACAGAGACCAAAACTTGCAGTGTTTCCACTGTCGGGCCAGTGCGAGCAGGGCTTTAAACGGGCGGGCGGGGCCGATAGCCTCGGGTCAGGAACACAGAGACCAAAACCTGCAGTGTTTCCACTGTCGGGCCAGTGCGAGCAGGGCTTTAAACGGGCGGGCGGGGCCGATAGCCTCGGGTCAGGAACACAGAGACCAAAACCTGCAGTGTTTCCACTGTCGGGCCAGTGCGAGCAGGGCTTTAAACGGGCGGGCGGGGCCGATAGCCTCGGGTCAGGAACACAGAGACCAAAACCTGCAGTGTTTCCACTGTCGGGCCAGTGCGAGCAGGGCTATAAACGGGCGGGCGGGGCCGATAGCCTCGGGTCAGGAACACCGAGACCAAAACTTGCAGTGTTTCCACTGTCGGGCCAGTGCGAGCAGGGCTTTAAACGGACGGGCGGGGCCGATAGCCTCGGGTCAGGAACACAGAGACCAAAACATGCAGTGTTTCCACTGTCGGGCCAGTGCGAGCAGGGCTTTAAACGGGCGGGCGGGGCCAATAGCCTCGGGTCAGGAACACAGAGACCAAAACATGCAGTGTTTCCACTGTCGGGCCAGAGCGAGCAGGGCTTTAAACGGGCGGGCGGGGCCGATAGCCTCGGGTCAGGAACACAGAGACCAAAACTTGCAGTGTTTCCACTGTCGGGCCAGTGCGAGCAGGGCTATAAACGGGCGGGCGGGGCCGATAGCCTCGGGTCAGGAACACCGAGACCAAAACTTGCAGTGTTTCCACTGTCGGGCCAGTGCGAGCAGGGCTTTAAACGGACGGGCGGGGCCGATAGCCTCGGGTCAGGAACACAGAGACCAAAACATGCAGTGTTTCCACTGTCGGGCCAGTGCGAGCAGGGCTTTAAACGGGCGGGCGGGGCCGATAGCCTCGGGTCAGGAACACAGAGACCAAAACATGCAGTGTTTCCACTGTCGGGCCAGAGCGAGCAGGGCTTTAAACGGGCGGGCGGGGCCGATAGCCTCGGGTCAGGAACACAGAGACCAAAACTTGCAGTGTTTCCACTGTCGGGCCAGAGCGAGCAGGGCTTTAAACGGACGGGCGGGGCCGATAGCCTCGGGTCAGGAACACAGAGACCAAAACCTGCAGTGTTTCCACTGTCGGGCCAGTGCGAGCAGGGCTTTAAACGGGCGGGCGGGGCCGATAGCCTCGGGTCAGGAACACAGAGACCAAAACTTGCAGTGTTTCCACTGTCGGGCCAGTGCGAGCAGGGCTTTAAACGGGCGGGCGGGGCCGATAGCCTCGGGTCAGGAACACCGAGACCAAAACCTGCAGTGTTTCCACTGTCGGGCCAGAGCGAGCAGGGCTTTAAACGGGTGGGCGGGGCCGATAGCCTCGGGTCAGGAACACAGAGACCAAAACCTGCAGTGTTTCCACTGTCGGGCCAGTGCGAGCAGGGCTATAAACGGGCGGGCGGGGCCGATAGCCTCGGGTCAGGAACACCGAGACCAAAACCTGCAGTGTTTCCACTGTCGGGCCAGAGCGAGCAGGGCTTTAAACGGACGGGCGGGGCCGATAGCCTCGGGTCAGGAACACCGAGACCAAAACCTGCAGTGTTTCCACTGTCGGGCCAGTGCGAGCAGGGCTATAAACGGGCGGGCGGGGCCGATAGCCTCGGGTCAGGAACACCGAGACCAAAACCTGCAGTGTTTCCACTGTCGGGCCAGAGCGAGCAGGGCTTTAAACGGGTGGGCGGGGCCGATAGCCTCGGGTCAGGAACACAGAGACCAAAACCTGCAGTGTTTCCACTGTCGGGCCAGTGCGAGCAGGGCTTTAAACGGGCGGGCGGGGCCGATAGCCTCGGGTCAGGAACACCGAGACCAAAACCTGCAGTGTTTCCACTCTCGGGCCAGAGCGAGCAGGGCTATAAACGGGCGGGCGGGGCCGATAGCCTCGGGTCAGGAACACCGAGACCAAAACCTGCAGTGTTTCCACTCTCGGGCCAGAGCGAGCAGGGCTATAAACGGGCGGGCGGGGCCGATAGCCTCGGGTCAGGAACACCGAGACCAAAACCTGCAGTGTTTCCACTCTCGGGCCAGAGCGAGCAGGGCTATAAACGGGCGGGCGGGGCCGATAGCCTCGGGTCAGGAACACCGAGACCAAAACCTGCAGTGTTTCCACTGTCGGGCCAGTGCGAGCAGGGCTATAAACGCGCGGGCGGGGCCGATAGCCTCGGGTCAGGAACACCGAGACCAAAACATGCAGTGTTTCCACTGTCGGGCCAGTGCGAGCAGGGCTTTAAACGGGCGGGCGGGGCCGATAGCCTCGGGTCAGGAACACCGAGACCAAAACTTGCAGTGTTTCCACTGTCGGGCCAGTGCGAGCAGGGCTATAAACGGGCGGGCGGGGCCGATAGCCTCGGGTCAGGAACACAGAGACCAAAACCTGCAGTGTTTCCACTGTCGGGCCAGTGCGAGCAGGGCTTTAAACGGGCGGGCGGGGCCGATAGCCTCGGGTCAGGAACACAGAGACCAAAACTTGCAGTGTTTCCACTGTCGGGCCAGTGCGAGCAGGGCTTTAAACGGGCGGGCGGGGCCAATAGCCTCGAGTCAGGAACACAGAGACCAAAACATGCAGTGTTTCCACTGTCGGGCCAGTGCGAGCAGGGCTATAAATGGGCGGGCGGGGCCGATAGCCTCGAGTCAGGAACACAGAGACCAAAACATGCAGTGTTTCCACTGTCGGGCCAGTGCGAGCAGGGCTATAAATGGGCGGGCGGGGCCGATAGCCTCGGGTCAGGAACACAGAGACCAAAACTTGCAGTGTTTCCACTGTCGGGCCAGTGCGAGCAGGGCTATAAATGGGCGGGCGGGGCCGATAGCCTCGGGTCAGGAACACAGAGACCAAAACATGCAGTGTTTCCACTGTCGGGCCAGTGCGAGCAGGGCTATAAACGGGCGGGCGGGGCCGATAGCCTCGAGTCAGGAACACAGAGACCAAAACATGCAGTGTTTCCACTGTCGGGCCAGTGCGAGCAGGGCTATAAATGGGCGGGCGGGGCCGATAGCCTCGGGTCAGGAACACAGAGACCAAAACTTGCAGTGTTTCCATTGTCGGGCCAGTGCGAGCAGGGCTATAAATGTCCATCACCTTCTGTATGCTATGTTGCACAATACTGAATGCTCAGGTATATAGTAAGTAGTAAACAAACTGTGTAAATCATTACTAATAAATGGTAGAAACAAACCGAATGCAAGTAGCGGTTGGCCTTTTGCTGTAGAGATTTTCCATTTACTACATACAGTAGGCACTCTGATTGGGTGGGTGGGTGGTGGGTGGGGGGGGGGGTTTGTAATACCCTTTTCACAAGATGTAAAATAAGTCTCTGATGTCCCCAGAGTGTGTGTGTGAAGTTTTACCTCAAAATACCCCACAGATATTTTTATATAGCATGTTAAAATTGTCACTTTTTGAGGGCGAGTAAAAACGCACCGTGTGTGTGTGTCCCTTTAAATGCAAATGAGCTGCTGCTCCCGGCACAGGGGGCGGAGCTTCGAGAGCTTGTGTCCTTTTACCACACACACGCAATCTCATATATTATACGATCAGGCCAGTTTCGTGTGTGTGTGTGTGAGTGAGTGCATGATGGGTAGTCTGATGTGAGCTCAGGCAGTTTCTGAAGGGACTCTGTTAGTTGCGCCGCATCTCACTGATTTTCCTCTCGCATCTTGTGTCAAAAGTTTAAAGTTCTTTTGTAACATTATAAATGTCTTTACTGTCACTTTTGATCAGTTTAATGTGTCCTTGAGTAAGAGTATTAATTTCTGTGTCTCTGAGCAACGGTTTGAAGGGAAGCTTGCCACTCGAGGTCAGGGTTTAGAGGAGCAGGGAATTCTGGGAAATGTCTCACAGCTGATCGATCGCTGATATGAATATGCAGTTGTTATTCTACATGATTCCTCTGTGTCACGCTTGATGATGGTGTAGGGCTGGGCGATAAAACGATAACGATATGTATCGCGATAGACACGTGATCGATATCAATAAAAAATGTGTTCGATAAAACGTTCGATATTTTTTTCTTCGTCGGAAGAAACCACAGGTTGCGAAGCAAGTTTGGTTGCATTATCAAAGGCACTCGCTCTCTGGTAACCTAGCAAAGTAGGGAGTGGCACGCTAACAGGCAATCATGTAACGTGTCAGTTTGGTTGCGCCATATCCAGACTCATGTTGCAGAATCGTTGTCTCGTGCTGCCGGGTTCCTCTTCAGTAACCGGCGATTGATAAGCAGAAAATGAGTGCCCTTCATCTGCATGCCATGCAGGCTAGAATTGCGAAACATTATTGGATAATTCGCTCTATTCGCGTTTGATGTGAACACAGCATCATAAACAGGCTGCGATGTCAAGATTGCAATGCTGGAGTGTGTGTGTGTGACGTGTGTGTGTGTGTGTGTGTGTGTGTGCGATCGCGCGCACGAGAGAGAGAGAGAGACACGCGGGCGCGATCGAACAGTGGAGACATAAAAACATACTCCCGTCATTTTGTTAATACAGGACATCATTCAGTCTGCAAAGTGTTTACTTATATTTGTGTAGGCCTATACTCGCAATAAAACACAACATTGTGCTTTTGTCACACTGTATTTCTTGTCAAACTGTAACCTACAACTGTCACACACCGTTTTAAAAGCAAAACATTTATCCAACCCCTTTGTAAAACAGTCTGTGTGTTCCATCTTTTGGACATTCGTCATATCGCATTGGTTTTCATTTCTTGCCCTCAAAACAGAGCACTAATCTGTTTATTTTTAAGTTACACATTGATTAAAAAAGAAAATGAAATGTGTTGGTAGTATTATTTTATACGGAAATCAATTATTTATAATTCTGATGAGAATAAAGTTAGGGTTAATTAAAATTAAGGAAAACAAATATATTGATCTGAAATATAGCAAATTAATTTTAAATTCATTCAGGTACAATTACCAAACATATCTCATATCTATCTTTTTATTAGTTTAATTAATAAACCAATTATATAAAACTATTATCAGTGCACTATAAATAAACTGGTTCTATGCCTTTATTAATAAAACTTATTGGGATTGTAATCAGAGGAAGGTTAAGTTTAAAATAAAAATGTATAAATGTAATATATTTTTTCTCCTGGTCCTTATTTTAAATGGGTCATAAAAAAATCAATAATTATCGATATCGACCGATATGAAACACTGATATCGTGATACAGTTTTCAGCCATATCGCCCAGCCCTATGATGGTGCTGAATCTGCTGTAATGCGAGCAGTGTGGAACAGGAAGTCAAGTGTGTGTGTTTGAGTGAGTGAAGTGTGTGTGTGTGAGTGTAAGTGTGTATATATATATATATATATATATGTGTGTGTGTGAGTGTAAGTGTGTATATATATATATATATATATATGTGTGTGTGTGTCCTGCACCCCCCCCCCCCAAAGTTTCTCCATCTTCTCAGCATCTGAACGCTCCTCCACTTCACAAAATGAAAGCCATGTGTCACTAACCGGTTCCAGCCGGCTGGTTGTCATGGTTTCCAGAATGGGAGGGGGGAGGGGTGTCACATGACATCAGGGAACATCGGTGGGTCATGTGACGTGTGTTTAGTTGTGTGATTAATGCAGAGGAAGAGTCTGATCTCTCTCACACACACACACACACAGCTGGAGTCGCTCGTGGGAAACACAACCAGTTCAACTTTCAGTCGTCAGTCTGAGATCAAAGTAACGTCCATGTGACCATAACATCATGCTCTCCGTTAAGCACACATGATGACCGTGTGTGTGTATTCACTACAATATAAGAATAATATTAGGATCATTTCTGCAAGTTGTGTGTGTCGACCCAAAGTTCCCGACATCCTTGCGATTGTTGTTGTAGAAACAGCCGTTCATCGAGTGATGATCACGAGTCGCTGCTCGTCAGATACTGTACGTTTATGAGGAGACTGAAGTCCCAGCATTCCTAGCACTCAGTTTCGTCTGCTTTCACTTTCACTTTGTGTGTGTGTGTGTGTTAGAGTGAGTGATGAAAAGCTAATAATTCATTAAAATCTAGTTAAACACTGGCGGGACACACACACACACACACACACACACACTCGGATGTTTTCTTGTCACAAAAAGAATGTGAACGTATGTAGGTTATATAATTTTAAACATATTTTAAAGATAATTTAAATGTATTTTACACACTTAAGCATTATCGCATATCTAATATCGCATATGTAATGCAGTGTTTCCTCTAGGATTTTTTCCAGCCGTGGTGGCAGGCCCATTTCGCCAGGGGAGGGGGCGTGGCCCATGAGTGATATTCCCATTGGCCACGCCCCCTTATCCCAGGTGTTTAAACCTCCCCTAAGCAGTATAACATGAAAGGCGCCAATAAGAGCGGCAAAGCGATTATGTGCATCCCGTGCGCAGAGTGATGCACTTGAAGCAACGCGAAGTCACAGCGTGCAGCGCTTCGCATTGAAAAGTTCAAAGCACAAAGTGAAGAGATTATATCGATCTATGCTTAATGTATTATATCTATGCAACAGTTTATTGAGCCTTTTCTTTTAACAGTTTTAAATTTCAGTTACAGTGCGCATGAAGAACAGTTCAATGGGACATGATTTTCGGTAACAGGATTGAGAAAACATGCGCCCATCTTCTGCTTAAACCTTGTAAAAAATAAATAAAGTTGCCTGAGATTGACCAATACACATTTTGAATAGTTAAATATGTGTAGTATTAGATTCAATGTTGAAAAAGATAAAAAATAAAGTTTAATTTTGAAGAGTTACAACAAGCAAATGTCACCCATTCGGTGGAATGGCCCACATACAATATCGGACCGAGAAGCTGCAGCCGTGGCGGGATGATTTTAGGTGTGGCGGCCCGCCATGGCAGAATGAATGTAGCGGAAACACTGTAATGGGTTATGGCGTTTCTCTCCAGTATCGTGCGGCTCTGATGACGAACTCCAGCAGAGAGAGAGCACACACTGCTGGACCCGAGCGAGTGACACACACACACACACACACACACACACGTTTATAACTGTTTAAGTGTGCTTTACAGGCACAATAACACACACCAGTGTTCATCTGACACACAGTCACACAACATTCACTCAGACTCCTTCAACATTTCTCACAGTTTCAGTGTATTCGCTATAGTTTAGACAATGGTGATAAACATGAGCAGAACTCAGTGGATATTTGACTGGTTTTGTCCGTCCTTCTGTTAGACTCTCACACATGAGTTATGTTGAATATCTGTCAGCTGTTAAATTTAACTACACAATTAGAGAATACCAGTTTAGCTCAACCAGTGACCAAGCAATGCTTCATGTTGTTCAGTGTGTGTAAAAAGAGCATTAGCAGTTACAGAAAACACACTGAAGAAAACATGATCAGCTCAAAGTGGAGGAATCATTATTGGTCCCAGATGTGTATTAATGTCTCTGTATTAAGAATATTTGGGTGTAATATCTCACAGTTTACTTTATTTTGCTCTCCTCACTTACAATAATGCACTATAGTGTCCTGCACACACCAGTGGAAACATCAAATTATATCTGGTGTCTGAATAGTTTTGTGTGTGTGTGTGCTGTCAGTGCGATGAGGAGTGCGCGGTCCCCCTCTCCTGATGATGTCATCGTGGTGTCCGACGAGGATCCCAGTCCGCGGGCCGCTGGGAGCCGCTGCAGAGAACTGGTCCCGGATCAGCTGATGGTAAACGCCTGGCGGTCACTCGTCATTGATCATAACTTACACTGGAATGTTTTCCTCTCCATCGCGCGATTTCCCGAACATAATGCATGATGGGCATTCATTAATCTGATTAAAAGTACTTCCATTTTGTAATATCATTTTCATCTAAGTAATTCCAAACTTTCTGTGATAAGAGGCCGTCCACTTGCTAAGCGCGCTCCCCAGCGCCACCCAGTGCATGTGATTATGACTGCGAGTCAGTGCTGGGTCGAGTCAGTGCTGGGTCGAGTCAGTGCTGGGTCGAGTCAGTGCTGGGTCACTGCATTAGCGCCAGCAAAGCTTCAGTGAAACTAGAAGAGTGTTTTATTTTTATAATAATAATTACAGATCGAATATTCGTGCACATCCCTAATGGGGAACACTGCAGATTCAACTTTTAATTGTATGTTTTCATGTGTGTGTGTGTGCGTGTCTGTCTGTGTGTGTGCGTGTCTGTGTGTGTGCATGTCTGTGTGTGTGTATGTGCTTGTCTGTGTGTGTGTGTGTGTGTCCGTGTGTGTGAGAAGAGGAGTTCTGCAGAGGAGCGCGAGTGTGTCATTAATCAGCTTAAGGAGGAGCTTCGCTTAGAAGAGGCCAAACTCATCCTGCTGAAGAAGATCAGACACAGTCAAACACACACCGACTCCAGCGGACAGAAGGTACACACACACACACACACACACACACACACACACACACACACACACACACACACACACACACTCATCCTGCTGAAGAAGATCAGACACAGTCAAACACACACCGACTCCAGCGGACAGAAGGTACACACACACACACACACACACACACACACACACACACACACTCATCCTGCTGAAGAAGATCAGACACAGTCAAACACACACCGACTCCAGCGGACAGAAGGTACACACACACACACACACACACACACACACACACACACTCATCCTGCTGAAGAAGATCAGACACAGTCAAACACACACCGACTCCAGCGGACAGAAGGTACACACACACACACACACACACACACACACACACACACACACACACTCATCCTGCTGAAGAAGATCAGACACAGTCAAACACACACCGACTCCAGCGGACAGAAGGTACACACACACACACACACACACACACACTCATCCTGCTGAAGAAGATCAGACACAGTCAAACACACACCGACTCCAGCGGACAGAAGGTACACACACACACACACACACACACACACACACACACACACACACACACTCATCCTGCTGAAGAAGATCAGACACAGTCAAACACACACCGACTCCAGCGGACAGAAGGTACACACACACACACACACACACACACACTCATCCTGCTGAAGAAGATCAGACACAGTCAAACACACACCGACTCCAGCGGACAGAAGGTACACACACACACACACACACACACACACACACACACACACACACTCATCCTGCTGAAGAAGATCAGACACAGTCAAACACACACCGACTCCAGCGGACAGAAGGTACACACACACACACACACAGACACACACACACACACACACACTCATCCTGCTGAAGAAGATCAGACACAGTCAAACACACACCGACTCCAGCGGACAGAAGGTACACACACACACACACACACACACACACACACACACACACACACACTCATCCTGCTGAAGAAGATCAGACACAGTCAAACACACACCGACTCCAGCGGACAGAAGGTACACACACACACACACACACACACACACTCATCCTGCTGAAGAAGATCAGACACAGTCAAACACACACCGACTCCAGCGGACAGAAGGTACACACACACACACACACACACACACACACACACACACACACACACTCATCCTGCTGAAGAAGATCAGACACAGTCAAACACACACCGACTCCAGCGGACAGAAGGTACACACACACACACACACACACACACACACACACACACTCATCCTGCTGAAGAAGATCAGACACAGTCAAACACACACCGACTCCAGCGGACAGAAGGTACACACACACACACACACACACACACACTCATCCTGCTGAAGAAGATCAGACACAGTCAAACACACACCGACTCCAGCGGACAGAAGGTACACACACACACACACACACACTCATCCTGCTGAAGAAGATCAGACACAGTCAAACACACACCGACTCCAGCGGACAGAAGGTACACACACACACACACACACACACACACACACACTCATCCTGCTGAAGAAGATCAGACACAGTCAAACACACACCGACTCCAGCGGACAGAAGGTACACACACACCCACACACACACACACACACACACACACACACACACACTCATCCTGCTGAAGAAGATCAGACACAGTCAAACACACACCGACTCCAGCGGACAGAAGGTACACACACACACACACACACACACTCATCCTGCTGAAGAAGATCAGACACAGTCAAACACACACCGACTCCAGCGGACAGAAGGTACACACACACACACACACACACACACACACTCATCCTGCTGAAGAAGATCAGACACAGTCAAACACACACCGACTCCAGCGGACAGAAGGTACACACACACACACACACACACACACACACACACACACACACACACACACACACTCATCCTGCTGAAGAAGATCAGACACAGTCAAACACACACCGACTCCAGCGGACAGAAGGTACACACACACACACACGCACACACACACACACACACTCATCCTGCTGAAGAAGATCAGACACAGTCAAGCACACACCGACTCCAGCGGACAGAAGGTACACACACACACACACACACACACACACACACACACTCATCCTGCTGAAGAAGATCAGACACAGTCAAACACACACCGACTCCAGCGGACAGAAGGTACACACACACACACACACACACACACACACACACACACTCATCCTGGAGAAGAAGATCAGACACAGTCAAACACACACCGACTCCAGCGGACAGAAGGTACACACACACACACACACACACACACACACACACACTCATCCTGCTGAAGAAGATCAGACACAGTCAAACACACACCGACTCCAGCGGACAGAAGGTACACACACACCCACACACACACACACACACACACTCATCCTGGAGAAGAAGATCAGACACAGTCAAACACACACCGACTCCAGCGGACAGAAGGTACACACACACACACACACACACACACACACACTCATCCTGCTGAAGAAGATCAGACACAGTCAAGCACACACCGACTCCAGCGGACAGAAGGTACACACACACACACACACACACACACACACACACACTCATCCTGCTGAAGAAGATCAGACACAGTCAAGCACACACCGACTCCAGCGGACAGAAGGTACACACACACACACACACACACACACACTGCCCCTATCCCTGCACCTACCCATCACACACACACACTGCCCCTATCCCTAACCCTACCCATCACACACAACTTTCTGCATTTTTACATTTTCAAAAAACATTACTTAGTATGATTTATACACTGTTTTCCTCATGGGGACCGCTGGCTGGACCCCACAATGTAGGTGATCTCAGGTTTTACTATACTTGTGGGTACATTTGGTCCCCACAATGTAATATAAACATGAACACACACACACACACATCCCCTAAAGTTCTTTGAAAAAAAGTAAGAGTCAAACTCTGTTTACAAATACAATTGGCTGGATATTGCACAGTATCCTGAGCCAGCGATCACTGTTAGTGTTATTAGTGTTATTAGTGTAATTAGTGTCATGTGTTGGTGTGTTAAAGTCCGAGTTACAGATCCGGTTTATTCTGTGTGTCTGATCAGCCGGTGATTTCAGTGTCTGCTGTTCTTCCTCCTCTGTTGAAGAGCTCAACGACTGCTAAAGCTGCACAACCTGTGAGTCCTTTACACACACGCTCTCATACACACACTCGCTCACACACACTCACTCACTCACTCACTCACTCACACACACACACACACACACACTCACTCACACACACACTCGCTCACTCACTCGCTCACACACACACACACACACACTCACACACACACTCACACACACACACACACTCACTCACTCACACACTCACTCACACACACGCTCACTCACACACTGACACTCTCACACACACTCACTCACTTACTCTCTCACACCAGACTGATCTCATGAAATGGCGTATGTATGACACGCCAATTCGTATTTCCATTTTTGGCGTGCTATCAACACGCATAATCGCTTTTCAGCGTGTTTATCAACGCCTTTGACAATGTTATATTACTGTATTATGTATATGACCTACCCCAACCCCGTCCCTAAACCTACCCGTCACTGGGGTTAATACCATTTATGAGTCTTCTCCTACCATCCTAGGAAAAGAAATATCGCTCCACAGATGTAGATATAGATTTTGCTTCGTTTCGCTCGGACATTTAACGGCGTACACACACACGCGGAATCACTCGGACGTTTAACGGCGTAGACATACACGCGGAATCACTCGGACGTTTAATGGCGTACACATACACGCGGAATCACTCGGACGTTTAACGGCGTACACATACACGCGGAATCACTCGGACGTTTAATGGCGTACACATACACGCGGAATCACTCGGACGTTTAATGGCGTAGACATACACGCGGAATCACTCGGACGTTTAATGGCGTACACATACACGCGGAATCACTCGGACATTTAATGGCGTAGACATACACGCGGAATCACTCGGACATTTAACGGCGTACACACACACGCGGAATCACTCGGACGTTTAACGGCGTAGACATACACGCGGAATCACTCGGACATTTAACGGCGTACACACACACGCGGAATCACTCGGACGTTTAACGGCGTAGACATACACGCGGAATCACTCGGACGTTTAATGGCGTAGACATACACGCGGAATCACTCGGACGTTTAATGGCGTAGACATACACGCGGAATCACTCGGACATTTAATGGCGTAGACATACACGCGGAATCACTCGGACATTTAACGGCGTACACACACACGCGGAATCACTCGGACGTTTAACGGCGTAGACATACACGCGGAATCACTCGGACGTTTAATGGCGTAGACATACACGCGGAATCACTCGGACGTTTAATGGCGTACACATACACGCGGAATCACTCGGACATTTAATGGCGTAGACATACACGCGGAATCACTCGGACATTTAACGGCGTACACACACACGCGGAATCACTCGGACGTTTAACGGCGTACACATACACGCGGAATCACTCGGACGTTTAATGGCGTACACACACACGCGGAATCACTCGGACGTTTAACGGCGTACACATACACGCGGAATCACTCGGACGTTTAACGGCGTACACATACACGCGGAATCACTCGGACGTTTAACGGCGTACACATACACGCGGAATCACTCGGACGTTTAACGGCGTACACATACACGCGGAATCACTCGGACGTTTAACGGCGTACACATACACGCGGAATCACTCGGACGTTTAACGGCGTACACATACACGCGGAATCACTCGGACATTTAACGGCGTAGACATACACGCGGAATCACTCGGACGTTTAACGGCGTAGACATACACGCGGAATCACTCGGACGTTTAATGGCGTACACATACACGCGGAATCACTCGGACGTTTAACGGCGTACACATACACGCGGAATCACTCGGACATTTAAGGGCGTAGACATACACGCGGAATCACTCGGACATTTAATGGCGTACACATACACGCGGAATCACTCGGACGTTTAACGGCGTACACATACACGCGGAATCACTCGGACATTTAACGGCGTACACATACACGCGGAATCACTCGGACGTTTAACGGCGTAGACATACACGCGGAATCACTCGGACGTTTAATGGCGTACACATACACGCGGAATCACTCGGACGTTTAACGGCGTACACATACACGCGGAATCACTCGGACGTTTAACGGCGTAGACATACACGCGGAATCACTCGGACGTTTAATGGCGTAGACATACACGCGGAATCACTCGGACGTTTAATGGCGTACACATACACGCGGAATCACTCGGACATTTAATGGCGTAGACATACACGCGGAATCACTCGGACATTTAACGGCGTACACACACACGCGGAATCACTCGGACGTTTAACGGCGTACACATACACGCGGAATCACTCGGACGTTTAATGGCGTACACACACACGCGGAATCACTCGGACGTTTAACGGCGTACACATACACGCGGAATCACTCGGACGTTTAACGGCGTACACATACACGCGGAATCACTCGGACGTTTAACGGCGTACACATACACGCGGAATCACTCGGACGTTTAACGGCGTACACATACACGCGGAATCACTCGGACATTTAATGGCGTAGACATACACGCGGAATCACTCGGACGTTTAATGGCGTACACATACACGCGGAATCACTCGGACATTTAATGGCGTACACATACACGCGGAATCACTCGGACGTTTAATGGCGTACACATACACGCGGAATCACTCGGACGTTTAATGGCGTACACATACACGCGGAATCACTCGGACATTTAATGGCGTAGACATACACGCGGAATCACTCGGACGTTTAATGGCGTACACACACACGCGGAATCACTCGGACGTTTAATGGCGTAGACATACACGCGGAATCACTCGGACGTTTAATGGCGTACACATACACGCGGAATCACTCGGACATTTAATGGCGTAGACATACACGCGGAATCACTCGGACGTTTAATGGCGTACACACACACGCGGAATCACTCGGACGTTTAATGGCGTAGACATACACGCGGAATCACTCGGACATTTAATGGCGTAGACATACACGCGGAATCACTCGGACGTTTAATGGCGTACACATACACGCGGAATCGCTCGGACGTTTAATGGCGTACACATACACGCGGAATCACTCGGACATTTAATGGCGTAGACATACACGCGGAATCACTCGGACGTTTAACGGCGTACACATACACGCGGAATCACTCGGACATTTAATGGCGTAGACATACACGCGGAATCACTCGGACGTTTAATGGCGTAGACATACACGCGGAATCACTCGGACGTTTAATGGCGTAGACATACACGCGGAATCACTCGGACGTTTAATGGCGTAGACATACACGCTGAATCACTCGGACGTTTAATGGCGTACACATACACGCGGAATCACTCGGACGTTTAATGGCGTACACATACACGCGGAATCACTCGGACATTTAATGGCGTAGACATACACGCGGAATCACTCGGACGTTTAACGGCGTACACATACACGCGGAATCACTCGGACATTTAATGGCGTAGACATACACGCGGAATCACTCGGACGTTTAACGGCGTACACATACACGCGGAATCACTCGGACATTTAATGGCGTAGACATACACGCGGAATCACTCGGACGTTTAATGGCGTAGACATACACGCGGAATCACTCGGACATTTAATGGCGTAGACATACACGCGGAATCACTCGGACGTTTAATGGCGTAGACATACACGCGGAATCACTCGGACGTTTAACGGCGTACACATACACGCTGAATCACTCGGACGTTTAACGGCGTACACATACACGCGGAATCACTCGGACATTTAATGGCGTAGACATACACGCGGAATCACTCGGACGTTTAATGGCGTACACATACACGCGGAATCACTCGGACGTTTAACGGCGTACACATACACGCTGAATCACTCGGACGTTTAACGGCGTACACATACACGCGGAATCACTCGGACATTTAATGGCGTAGACATACACGCGGAATCACTCGGACGTTTAACGGCGTACACATACACGCTGAATCACTCGGACGTTTAACGGCGTAGACATACACGCGGAATCACTCGGACATTTAATGGCGTAGACATACACGCGGAATCACTCGGACGTTTAACGGCGTACACATACACGCTGAATCACTCGGACGTTTAACGGCGTACACATACACGCGGAATCACTCGGACATTTAAGGGCGTAGACATACACGCGGAATCACTCGGACGTTTAACGGCGTACACATACACGCGGAATCACTCGGACATTTAATGGCGTAGACATACACGCGGAATCACTCGGACGTTTAACGGCGTACACATACACGCGGAATCACTCGGACGTTTAACGGCGTACACATACACGCGGAATCACTCGGACGTTTAACGGCGTACACATACACGCTGAATCACTCGGACGTTTAACGGCGTACACATACACGCGGAATCACTCGGACATTTAATGGCGTAGACATACACGCGGAATCACTCGGACGTTTAATGGCGTACACATACACGCGGAATCACTCGGACGTTTAATGGCGTACACATACACGCGGAATCACTCGGACGTTTAATGGCGTACACATACACGCGGAATCACTCGGACGTTTAACGGCGTACTCATACACGCGGAATCACTCGGACATTTAACGGCGTACACATACACGCGGAATCACTCGGACGTTTAATGGCGTAGACATACACGCGGAATCACTCGGACGTTTAACGGCGTAGACATACACGCGGAATCACTCGGACGTTTAACGGCGTACACATACACGCGGAATCACTCGGACGTTTAATGGCGTAGACATACACGCGGAATCACTCGGACGTTTAACGGCGTACACATACACGCGGAATCACTCGGACGTTTAATGGCGTACACATACACGCGGAATCACTCGGACGTTTAATGGCGTACACATACACGCGGAATCACTCGGACGTTTAATGGCGTAGACATACACGCGGAATCACTCGGACGTTTAACGGCGTACACATACACGCGGAATCACTCGGACGTTTAACGGCGTACACATACACGCGGAATCACTCGGACGTTTAATGGCGTACACATACACGCGGAATCACTCGGACATTTAATGGCGTACACATACACGCGGAATCACTCGGACGTTTAACGGCGTACACATACACGCGGAATCACTCGGACGTTTAACGGCGTACACATACACGCGGAATCACTCGGACATTTAACGGCGTACACATACACGCGGAATCACTCGGACATTTAACGGCGTACACATACACGCGGAATCACTCGGACGTTTAACGGCGTACACATACACGCGGAATCACTCGGACGTTTAATGGCGTACACATACACGCGGAATCACTCGGACGTTTAACGGCGTACACATACACGCGGAATCACTCGGACGTTTAATGGCGTACACATACACGCGGAATCACTCGGACGTTTAACGGCGTACACATACACGCGGAATCACTCGGACGTTTAATGGCGTACACATACACGCGGAATCACTCGGACATTTAACGGCGTACACATACACGCGGAATCACTCGGACATTTAATGGCGTACACATACACGCGGAATCACTCGGACGTTTAATGGCGTAGACATACACGCGGAATCACTCGGACGTTTAACGGCGTACACATACACGCGGAATCACTCGGACGTTTAACGGCGTACACATACACGCGGAATCACTCGGACGTTTAATGGCGTAGACATACACGCGGAATCACTCGGACGTTTAATGGCGTACACATACACGCGGAATCACTCGGACATTTAACGGCGTACACATACACGCGGAATCACTCGGACGTTTAATGGCGTACACATACACGCGGAATCACTCGGACGTTTAACGGCGTACACATACACGCGGAATCACTCGGACGTTTAATGGCGTAGACATACACGCGGAATCACTCGGACGTTTAACGGCGTAGACATACACGCGGAATCACTCGGACGTTTAACGGCGTAGACATACACGCGGAATCACTTAGGACGTTTAATGGCGTACACATACACGCGGAATCACTCGGACGTTTAATGGCGTAGACATACACGCGGAATCACTCGGACGTTTAACGGCGTAGACATACACGCGGAATCACTCGGACGTTTAATGGCGTAGACATACACGCGGAATCACTCGGACGTTTAACGGCGTAGACATACACGCGGAATCACTTAGGACGTTTAATGGCGTACACATACACGCGGAATCACTCGGACGTTTAATGGCGTACACATACACGCGGAATCACTCGGACATTTAACGGCGTACACATACACGCGGAATCACTCGGACGTTTAACGGCGTACACATACACGCGGAATCACTCGGACGTTTAATGGCGTAGACATACACGCGGAATCACTCGGACGTTTAATGGCGTAGACATACACGCGGAATCACTCGGACGTTTAACGGCGTAGACATACACGCGGAATCACTCGGACGTTTAATGGCGTAGACATACACGCGGAATCACTCGGACGTTTAATGGCGTAGACATACACGCGGAATCACTCGGACGTTTAACGGCGTACACATACACGCGGAATCACTCGGACGTTTAACGGCGTAGACATACACGCGGAATCACTCGGACGTTTAACGGCGTAGACATACACGCGGAATCACTCGGACGTTTAATGGCGTAGACATACACGCGGAATCACTCGGACGTTTAACGGCGTACACATACACGCGGAATCACTCGGACGTTTAACGGCGTACACATACACGCGGAATCACTCGGACGTTTAATGGCGTAGACATACACGCGGAATCACTCGGACGTTTAATGGCGTAGACATACACGCGGAATCACTCGGACGTTTAACGGCGTAGACATACACGCGGAATCACTCGGACGTTTAACGGCGTAGACATACACGCGGAATCACTCGGACGTTTAACGGCGTAGACATACACGCGGAATCACTCGGACGTTTAATGGCGTAGACATACACGCGGAATCACTCGGACGTTTAACGGCGTAGACATACACGCGGAATCACTCGGACGTTTAACGGCGGAATCACTCGGACGTTTAACGGCGTAGACATACACGCGGAATCACTCGGACGTTTAACGGCGTACACATACACGCGGAATCACTCGGACGTTTAACGGCGTAGACATACACGCGGAATCACTCGGACGTTTAACGGCGTAGACATACACGCGGAATCACTCGGACGTTTAATGGCGTAGACATACACGCGGAATCACTCGGACGTTTAACGGCGTAGACATACACGCGGAATCACTCGGACGTTTAACGGCGTAGACATACACGCTGAATCACTCGGACGTTTAACGGCGTACACATACACGCGGAATCACTCGGACGTTTAACGGCGTAGACATACACGCGGAATCACTCGGACGTTTAATGGCGTAGACATACACGCGGAATCACTCGGACGTTTAACGGCGTAGACATACACGCGGAATCACTCGGACGTTTAACGGCGTACACATACACGCGGAATCACTCGGACGTTTAACGGCGTACACATACACGCGGAATCACTCGGACGTTTAACGGCGTAGACATACACGCAAAAGATTTCGGCGTGGACATACACGCGGATAGCTCAAAATGCGTATAGATAACACGCCACTTGACTTGAAAGTGGCGTGTATGTTTACGCAAAGTCATGATGTCATGTTGCTCACACACACACACACACACACACACACACCAAATACAGATTGCAACACCAAGGTCCTGTGTTCGATCCACAGGTACTGCATGGACTGATGTGATGTATACCACAAGTGCAGTGTAAATCTCTTCTGATAAAGTGCATAACTGTAAACTCTTCTGGCTGAACGTGCTCTGATTAACTCTATAATGCCTGAGACTCTGGGCACAGCTGTAGTGAGTCTGATTGGTTGACTGGTTCATCAGGTGGTTCCCGCTCGGCCTTCTGGGACGGTGGCTCCTCCTCCACTGGTGCGCGGTGGTCATGTGACCAAACACACTCAGCTGATCATGCCAGCGCTGGTCAGAGGAGCTCAGGTGAGTCAGACGGACAGGTGAGGGGATCCGCATGGGGTTAACTTTCACTTTAACGTTTATCATTTGGACGTGTTTTGTCTCACCAGTTTACACATTCTAACAATTTTAAACGCAGAAGAACACACACACACACACACACACACACACACACACACGCTGACGGAGAAAGAGAGACGTTGAACACACTTTTTTAAAATGGTCATCACATTTTTATAATTGATAACAAAACTTAATAACAATGAATAATAAATACAATTTTTAGTTCAATATTAATTCCATCAAAATTTCAACAACACCACTGAAGCACTCATCATCATCATCACATCATCATCATCATCATCACATCATCATCATCATCATCTTCATCATCATTCACAAAAATAACATTTGCATTTATACACCAATTTTTAAAGATCAGATTTTATATGCTTTTCAAATAGTTAACTTTGCGTGACCAATAAAGAAATTGGAGAAGGTGCAGGACTCACTTTGGAGTAGAAAATATAAAGCAACAACTCACTTAAGTTTGATTTATTTACCCAGAAAACAAGACTTAATATCTTATGGCGTTTCACTGATCTTGATTTAAGAGTTTTTAGATATTAGGACTGAAAACGAGACTGAGTGAGAGAAGTGTGTTCTGCAGTGCTGAGGTGTGTGTGTGTGTGTGTGTGCAGTCTCTCTCAGTGACGCCACAGCAGATGTGCAGTCTCCGCCAGCAGAGCTCCTCCTCCGGGCCTCCTCCACTCCTGCTGGGGCCCAGCGCTCAGGGCCACCGCCTCCTCCAGCCGGGCCTCGTCCGCACCGCCTCCATCCCCAGCGCCAGCCTTCTGCTCATCAACCAGGTGCTGCACACACTCCACACACACACACACACCAGCTCTCACTGGATCTCTTCCCAAATGCTCCTTGCCAAACATTTTTATCTAGTTTTTATTCGTTGAGGAAAATGTCGATAGATATTCGTCATATCGTCTCGTTTTCGTCTGTGAAAATGTCAAATTATTCGTCACTGGAACTAACTCTGTTGGGTCATTGTGGCCCGCGAGGGAGAGATGTTGCGAAGAGCGAGGGAAGGATGAGGCTTAATACTGAACACAGAGGCAAGAACATTTTAATAGAGAAGATCCCGATTGAGTGTTTAGTGAATGTTGCGCTGGTTCTGCTCCGCTGTTCCCTCAGACCGCGGGGTCGAGCCTGAAGCCGGCGAGCGCTGGCGAGTGTGTGGCGTCAGTGAAGCTGGCTCTGCAGAAACAGCTGGAGAACGCTCTTCTGGAGATCCCGCCGGCCAAACCACTCGCAACCCAGCTCACCTTCATGCCCTCGGCCGCCAGTCTCCAGTTCCTCTACCTACTGGGGCTGGAGGAGGTGGTGCACAGCCTGCTGGAGTCTCTGGGCCGAGGTACACACACACACACACACACACACACTGGAGGAGGTGGTGCACAGCCTGCTGGAGTCTCTGGGCCGAGGTACACACACACACACACACACACACACACACACACACACACACACACACACACACACTGGAGGAGGTGGTGCACAGCCTGCTGGAGTCTCTGGGCCGAGGTACACACACACACACACACACACACACTGGAGGAGGTGGTGCACAGCCTGCTGGAGTCTCTGGGCCGAGGTACACACACACACACACACACACACACACTGGAGGAGGTGGTGCACAGCCTGCTGGAGTCTCTGGGCCGAGGTACACACACACACACACACACACACACTGGAGGAGGTGGTGCACAGCCTGCTGGAGTCTCTGGGCCGAGGTACACACACACACACACACACACTCAGCTTAGTACCGCCCAGCTATAAGGCATGGAGATATTAAGGTTTGATTTTGTTGATATAAATAATCACACAGTTGAGATTTTGTGACCCTGGATCACAGAACCAGTCACAGGCCAATTCCTTTAGAAATAGAGATGTATACATCATCCGAGAGCTAAAGCTGGATAAAGGAGCATTCTGTTGGTGTGTGGTGTGTGGTGTGTGATGTGTTGGTGTGTGGTGTGTAATGTGTTGGTGTGTGGTGTGTTAGGACAGGACAATATTTGGCCGATACAACTCTTGAAGATCTGGAATCTGAGGGTGCAGAAAAATCGAAACATTGAGAAAATCTCCTTTAAAGTCGTGCATTTATGATCGTGATTTGCTGCATCCACTCACAATTTTTTTGATATATTTACGGTAGGAAATTCACAAAATATCTTCATGGAACATGATCTTTTTCTTAATATCCTAATGATTTTTGGCATAAAAGAAAAATATATAATTTTGATCCATACGGTGTTGGTTATTGCCACGGAAATATGGAAGCATATTGGTAGCAATATTCAATTTGAAATTTAATGTGCAAAATGACACTGCATTTCTGTATTTAAATTTACATTTTCCATTACATTTGTGCAACGTTTTGTGCAAAATGAAAATTTAATTATATAATTTGCATTTGCCATTTCATACACTTCTTTTAATATGTAAATTGAATGCATATTTTAACGCTTTATAAGTTGCAAAATGAAAATGTATTACAGAAATTATTTGATATGTAAAAACAAAAACTGTAGCAAAGTGATCATTTAAGCGTTATTTTTCTTAATTGCATTTACAGTTAAGAAACACAGGCAGTGCTGGTTATAATGTGTGTGTGTGTGTGTGTGTGTCAGGTCAGCAGGGTGTGTACGCTGGGCGAGTGGTCAGTGGAGAGCCGTCCTGCTGTCGTCAGTGTGAGACGGACTTCACCAGCCGCTGGTGTGAGGATGGGGGCGGAGCCGTCGTGTGTGAGCAGTGCCTGTCAGCCAATCAGAAGCAGGCGTTGAAGGCCCAGCACACCAGTCGGCTGAAGGCGGCGTTCGTGAAGGCTCTTCAACAGGAGCAGGAGATCGAGCAGCGCATCCAGAAGACCACATCATCATCATCATCATCGGCTCACAGGGGGAAGATGAGCCGCCCCCCCGCAGCCATCAAACAGGTATAACGCTGGCTCCGCCTCTCTCTGCATAGGTCACGGCTGAGGGCGTTGTTAGGCTCGACACGAAGCCGAGTTATTCCCGACACAGCACTAGCCTCGAGGACATTATTGCTGTTATTAAACGCTTAGCACACAATACAAATATTAAAGCTGATAAATATGTATCTATTAGGGGTGGAACAGTACACAGAAGTCACGGTTCGGTTCAGACATCACGGTTCGGTACGATTTCGGTACAATGGGGGGGAAAGCAAAACAAAAATGCAGAAGGCATTGTATTTTTTAAATAAGTTTATTAATAAAGGCATAGAACCAGTTCACTGACAATAGTTTTATATAATTAGTTTATTAATTAAATTAATAAAAAGACCTTGCGATATGTTTGGTAATTGTACCTGAATTAATTTAAAATTAATTTGCTATATTTCAGATCAATATATTTTTTTTCCTTAATTTTAATTAACATTATTAATTAACAATGTAACATTATTCTCATCTGAATTATAAATAATTGATTTCTGTATAAAATAATACTACCATTAAAAACACATTCGATTTTCTTTTTTTAATCAATGTTGAATGTGTGAGATTAGCGCTCCGAGGACGAGAAATGAAAACCGATGCAATATGATGAATGTCCAAAAGATGGAACACACAGACTGCTTTGAAATGGAGTTGGATAAATATGTTTTGCTTTTAAAACAGTGTGTGTGTGTGTGTGTGTGTGTGTGTGTGTGTGTGTGTGTGTGTGTGTGTGTGTGTGAGTGTGTGAGTGAGTGAGTGAGTGAGTGAGTGAGTGAGTGTGTGTGTGAGTGAGTGAGTGAGTGAGTGAGTGAGTGAGTGAGTGTGTGAGTGAGTGTGTGAGTGAGTGAGTGAGTGAGTGAGTGAGTGAGTGAGTGAGTGAGTGAGTGAGTGAGTGAGTGAGTGAGTGAGTGAGTGAGTGAGTGAGTGAGTGAGTGAGTGAGTGAGTGAGTGAGTGAGTGAGTGAGTGTGTGTGTGAGTGAGTGAGTGAGTGAGTGAGTGAGTGAGTGAGTGAGTGTGTGAGTGAGTGAGTGAGTGAGTGAGTGAGTGAGTGAGTGAGTGAGTGAGTGAGTGAGTGAGTGTGTGAGTGAGTGTGTGAGTGAGTGAGTGAGTGAGTGAGTGAGTGAGTGAGTGTGTGAGTGAGTGTGTGAGTGAGTGTGTGAGTGAGTGAGTGAGTGAGTGAGTGAGTGTGTGAGTGAGTGTGTGAGTGAGTGTGTGAGTGAGTGAGTGAGTGAGTGAGTGAGTGAGTGAGTGAGTGTGTGAGTGTGTGAGTGAGTGAGTGAGTGAGTGAGTGAGTGAGTGAGTGTGTGAGTGAGTGTGTGAGTGAGTGAGTGAGTGAGTGAGTGAGTGAGTGAGTGAGTGAGTGAGTGTGTGAGTGTGTGAGTGTGTGAGTGAGTGAGTGAGTGAGTGAGTGTGTGAGTGAGTGAGTGTGTGAGTGTGTGAGTGTGTGAGTGTGTGAGTGTGTGAGTGTGTGAGTGTGTGAGTGAGTGAGTGAGTGAGTGTGTGAGTGTGTGAGTGAGTGAGTGAGTGTGTGAGTGTGTGAGTGAGTGAGTGAGTGTGTGAGTGTGTGAGTGAGTGAGTGAGTGGGTAGAGAAGACTTTATATTGAAACGACTCAAACTTGTGTTCACGGAGAAGCAAGACGCAACTGATAAATGACTAGCGTGTCACGTGAAACCCTTAGCCTAGCTGTTAAGAGGACCCGATATCACAGCGGACATTCAAACAGATTTTATATTATGAATATAGTCTGACCTGAAGGAAGATGCTATATCTCAGGGTATCCGCGGGGTCTTGAAAAGTATTAAAAGGTGATAAATCAATTTTGGGAAA